AACAGGTGTATTCATACCTTTACCAAGCGTATTTACGTGTAAGTGAATATAACGAACCCAACTGGAATTAAAACTCGGCTTTCCATTTAATAAGTCCAAGCCATTATCCCTTATACCACCCGCATACCCAAGCTTACAGTATCCGGTATACCCAAGCGGTCACCCATAGCAGCTGTTCATATTTTTGTAATCATTATCGTTATAAATGTTGAGGGGATTCTCCCCTTTTTACACAAATGGACTCACCCAGTATATACATATACTACGGCTACGTGAAGACGAGAGCAAGACCAAGGAGTCGAGTCGAGGTTGTAGGTAACCGGAAGTGTGAGGGGTGAGGTAACAACGTTGTAGGAGTCACAGTGAGCGAGCACGTAGACTCAGTAAGAAGTCATACAGCGATACTTCAATACCAAAGACTGTATATATATATTTCTACTAACACGTATTCCTGGAACTACTAACCTGCTTTACCAGTTTGTATTATTACGTTAATACATTATTTTCATATATTCATTCCTGGCGTTTGTTATTTATTGGTACCGGATTTCAACCCGAAATAAATATTGTTTGAACAATAAATATCTCTCTAATTATGAGGCGGATTTTTATCAACCCAATTATTTTTCGGACTATTGATCTCAATAAAGACCATTGTTATTATGTGACATTGTTATTATAATTGCAAGAGCTGTTCGGACTATTGATCTCAGTATCTTGGAAGTTATTAGATTTGTCGTTATCATTCCAAGCGTTGTTCGGATATCGTTCTTTTTGTTCCTGTTTTTTTTGTTATCAAAACGTTCCATCCGATCTATCCTACGTTTTTTTTTCTCTTTTTTTTCTGGGTTATAAAGACAGTTGTGAACCCCGACACCGATCCCATATTGATTTTGCTTAAAAACATTACAAGAAAAATATGAAAGTCCTTATTTTTTTTTACAGTTGGACTACCTGAAAGAGTTTTTTGCTGAGTCACGGGCAACACAATCAAGACAAAGTCCGAATATAATGATAAAAAACAAACCATGAAGAGCTTATTTTGTGAATAAAATTTATTTTGCCAAAAAAATATACATGTCCCCTATGTATGGAAACTTTGGGATCAATTTGCATATTTATTGGGTCGGAAAGTAAGTAAACACTTAGGCTATCGAAAGCAGGGTCGCTCAGATGGTCCTTAAACTATATCCTCCTGGCCTCGGGTTAAACTGACGCGTTTTTCTCCATGGATTATGAACATTTTTACTTAAATTTCCTATTTTCTTCATTTCAGATTAAAATTAGAAAATATTAAAAATTATTTTCCAAAACTATATCCTATAATTATCGCTTATATATATATATATATATATATATATATATATATATATATATATATATATATATATATATATATATATATGTATGTATATTGTTGAAACTTGACTAATGCATGGAATAATATACAACACAAAAATGTACTTAGAACAAAATGTATTGAAACAAGAAAGTGTACACAATATTTACATATAGTCTTTTGTATATTCTTGGGAAGACCGTTCCTGTAGAATGTGTTGACTTAGTCGCAGTCGGGCAGAGTCTCTGGATTGAATCTCTTGATTCCTCCCCTCGTCTTCCCGGTACCAACCATATTTATATGGTCGGTACTCCACTATGCAAAATAGGTGGAACCTACCACAACATATATATATATATATATATATATATATATGAGATGAGGTATTATGTACATTGTTTACATTATTCGGACTATTGTCCTCATCTTTGTCACCATATTTATCATAACGTTTCGGCCGTTGTACGTTGCGGCCTTCTTCAGGTGATTGGAATATCGAACTGAACCCTTTATTTTGCTCACTAGGGTAGACTGTTCTAGTTCCACGTGCCATGTTTGATGGATGTCAGTTGTCAGTTATCTCCTGTTAATTTTCCCTCTGAAAGTTCTCCACTGTCTTAAACGGGTATTGAACTCATACTCTTTGGGTCCTGTCACTGGATCTAACCAACGCCTTTATCCACTGTGCCATGTGTCCTGTATAAAGATATCCGTTTAAACTGACACCAGGTTTATACGGGTTTATATGGATAGACAATTACGAAGTCGTTTCTTAATGGGAGAAACGTGCGTATACCCTCAAATAGTATTAATGAATTCATCATAATTCAAGCAATTCGATAGGTTCTAACATTTTGGTAATTGTTTATTTCAAATACGACTGTTAGGTGCCGTGTCACAATGGTTAGTGCGATAGCATATTGACTAAATGGTAGGAGATTCGTTTTTAATCTTTATCCTTATCACTCTGTCTTCAATTGCTGTACAAAAAGTTTATCCTGCCTCTGAAGGTGAGTCTGATCCCTGAACAATAGTGTGTTTGAATTTCATAGTTGTGTTGTCATATCCTGCTATGGCAACAGAAATCAACGTTGAGTGAAATTAACAATAAGGACACCCTAATTGACAAGCCTTGAAAAAGAATAAAAAGTAATATTAATAATGCAGTGTGCTAAATGTTAACAATAAATTATATTTTAAAAAAGAATAATAAATAAACCCAAGAAGAAATCGATTAACTTACGTTACTGTTTTATGAATAAAACTTTAAAATGCATTATTTTAGTAAAGTTCATACAATGGATGGCCCTAAAGCCACTCTAGTTACTGAATGGGATTTGTGATATGAAAGTAAGAAGAGGAAATAGAAAGTGAAAATTACGAAAGATATGGCGGATGTATAACGATTTAGATGTTAAGATTTGTAGTGTTCGTGAAAGCATCTACGCTGACGTCCGTTCCACAAAGTAGCGACGCTTGCGATGAAGTTTTTTAGTGGGACATCTTTCTGGCCAAAGGAATACGTAGGGAACGAGAGTGATTCAACTCTGTTGGCCTAGCAAGGCAGGTCTTGGCTGTAAAGGCCTGAGCTGGTGACACCGAAGAATGGAGCGTATTGTAACATTTGTCATGAAGGTAGCAAAAAAAAGTATAGGATGTCGCATTTGTGGAAAAGGAGATGTAGGCTGGGAAAATATTTGTTAGAATTTCAAATTATACAGTCAAATAATGCCAACATTGTTTATTTCTATTTATACATTGCTTACATCCCTTTACCTCTAAGTTGTGATCTAAATGCTATGGACGTTACCCTTTTCAGAACAATGCTTTATTTGAATAAGTATGCAATTTAATTATAAAACCATCAACAAAACTGGTTCCCATATTGTATTCATTTCTATGCTTGATCGGCTCAGGTGATTTTTGTGGCCTAGCATATGTGCTGATTCCTTAAGTTTACGAATTCTCCAATGATGCTCTTTGTCTATGATCTCAACCTGATCGGAGGGCGGTGATCCCCCTTTTCTCTCCATGTGGTCAGCCATGCCTGATTTTTCCACTTCCCCTCGTGTTACAGCTTCCTGGTGTTCTTCAAGCCTTAACTTAAATGGGCGGCCTGTCTCCCCTTTGTATTTCTTTCCGCAGCAGCACGGGATAGCGTACACACAGTCTTTAGTCATGTTCTCCTCTATGGTGGGGTGCGGGGTCTTACTCGGGAGAGATATCTGCGAAGTGTCGTTCAACTTTTGAAGGTTGTCCTGATGTTATATGAACCGCAGATCTTTGTATTTACTCTGATATCCCCTTCACATAAAACAGGAAGACTGTTTTCTGAGTGTTCTTGTCCTCCTCTTGTACCCGCCTATCCCAGTTTTTTGGGGCTGCTGCCATGTACCCAGGGTAGTTGTTACGTTGTAGGCTACTACTTATACTGATCAATTCTTTATCTAATGTCTCTGGGTCGCCACTTATGACTTTTGCTTTTGTGAGCGAAATTAAGGGTTCAGTTCGACATTCCAACGACCTGAAGAAGGCAAGAGCGTACAACGGCCGAAACGTTGTAATAAATATGGCGACAAAGATGAAGACAATAGTCCGAATAATATAAATAGTGTACGTCATACCTCATCTCAGAAATATAGACGGGTAATATGCTGTCTAAGTAATCCATCACTTGCAGTGGTCTACTTACTTCACGCCGTTGGCGAGTATTGTATTTCGTTGATGTTATAAAGATTACTATCTTATTTCCAAACTCCGTTTTGGCTATTCCCCATTCAATAATCTTTTCTAGGTTACAGCAATTACTAAACTATTATTAGCTCAAAAATATATTCTTACAACCTAAAAATATTTCCTGGCTTTAAATAACCTGAAAAGGGTTGACAAGCCGTAGAGAATGAATGAATCAAACAATCAGTGAAAGGAACAGCGTAGGTCCGAGGATATAGCCCTGGGTGGATATCGGCATTATTATGAAATGAACTAGAACCCCATCCAGTCAACATGACCTTAATTACATAGCTTTAAAAATATCTGGTGACATTATTTGGCAAGGTGATTTTGATTTTAATTTTATCACAAGGTGTCGAAACTGAAATATTCGAAAAATCTTATTAAAGAAAATATTTCGAATAGACGAAAAGAAATAAACGGAGTACCTGTATTCACCCGGGGTGGGTTGAGTTTCATGGGAATTTGGAATTCACAAGCGGTCCCCAACCCGAATGTACAGCACATGAGATTTGATTATAGTGGTGAAGGTTTCGTGCAGGACCATCCACACTTTTTGAAGGGCTGAATACAGAGACCTTGTGCACAAGGTCCCCAACAAGGTCCCCAAACGACCCTTCACAGGTTTTGAATTCGGAGTTTCCCTTCTCCTAGACCAGTTGCCATCCAAGGCTATAGAACCCAGTCTGCTTTGATATTTACCCATAGCTGGAGGGAGAAGAAGAGGATTCACACCTTTCCCAAGGGTGTTAGCACGTAAGTGAATGTAATGGATTCGACTGGAATTCGAACTCGGCTCTGCGATTCCTCAGTCCAAGCCTCTATCCATTACTCCACCGTGCCTCCTCTAGATAAGCGGAGTGCCTACTCAAAGACCAGTATCCACTAAAAATAATGTTTAAAGTGATAATACTTTTATGTGTGCTCCTTATTTCACCGTGTAGAGATAGATAGATAGATAGAGAGAGAGAGAGAGAGAGAGAGAGAGAGAGAGAGAGAGAGAGAAATGGAGATTATGAACACAAGAATCAGTATTACGTGTCACTTTCACGTTTAAATACGATTTTCCAACCAATGCTGTACAATGCAAGGGTCAGCAACACGAGAAAAGAAACTGTCGAGCCGAATTCGAATTTTGGCTGAGTTCGTTACGTTTTACTTTCGCGCAGATAACATTGGGAAAGCTATGAATCAGATCAGAGTCGGTCCTGTAGCCTTGGCTGTTAAACAGTCTAGCTATGGGAACTAGATAAAAGCACCCTCATCGAACAGCCCGGGAATGGTGTGTCCGAGCGGAAAAACGTACACTGACTCAAATTCTTATGACATGGGAGTTGCGCAATGTGCCGTAGGCGGAGATGGCATCTACTTTTGGAGCAAAGCTGGTCTTAAGATCTCATCGAAGTGTAAAGCTGAGACAGTCTTATATCTACAGTCTTATATCTACATAGTCTAGCTTTATAAACGCTTCTTTCCTGATATTTTTGCATTCTTTCACTATAAATGTAGGAAGACTTCAATATATATATATATATATATATATATATATATATATATATATATATATATATATATATATATATATATATATATTGATGTATAAAAATATTTCTCGTGTGTGTGTATATGTGTATACATGTCGATCAGTCTGTCATTTAATTAAAAGGCACTCTATTGAAAAAAAAATATCTTGACCTAGATAACGTTCAATCAATTCCGAATATTCTCCTGGCTATTTATAGACAGTCTTCCGACCCACCATCTCAAACGCCTACACTTGTGCAGGCCACGAAACAGCCTCGCTGGCAACGACTATTTTTAACTCATTCAGAACTGCGCTGTAACGCCTCTTTTCTTTTGACTTCCTCCTGTCGTAAAATCTCTAAGTAAACACCTAAGACAGAAAAAAAAGGAAAAAAAAAAAAAAAAAAAGAAGATCGCCCCAACCCACCAAATCAAAATGTTTCTCCCTCCCTGTTTAAAAAAAACAAAAAAACATTCGCATATTTGAACTGCACCTCTTTTCATTGAGAAAGTGCGTTCGCTCGTCGCGCGGTTTACAAGGGGTTGAAAAGACGTGGTAAAGATGGTGACTGATGTTTGGGGGCGGGAAGTGAGCCTAGGGTAGAGTTCTTGGCGGAGATAACGTTCGGAATTTGTGTAAATTTTGGAATGTTACTTAAAAAAAAAAAAAAATCTGGTTTGTAGAAACCGACAAAGTGATTCTCAGAATCCCAGATCACATTGCTCCTCTGGTGACCACTTTTTCTTTTCAGTCCCTGCTCCTTCTGTATTAACATCTAGATTTGTTTTATTAATCATTATACTTTTACACTGGTAATTACTGAAATAAATTTTTTAAGCCAAACTGCATCATTAACTGCAATCAAATAAAAAAAGAAATCCTCATTTCAATCGATTATAAAAGATTGGTTTAACGCTGAATAAGATCACCTTCCCTAAAATTGTTACCTTTAAATTTGAAAATGATCCTCCCGTACGAGAATCCTATTTTTTTTTTTTTAGATGTATTTATATATGAAGTCTCGCTAATACTAAACAACCAATCACTTTCTTCACACTAAACAACGGAAGTAAATTAGTGGGTACTCAGAATATTCAACGTACATGTGGACAGAGTTTAAGCTCTCACCTATATAGCAGTTGCAGTTTTGGCACCTCGACGTGGTGTAATGGTTAGAACGCTTGTCTTGCTAGATCAATTACGAGTGAGTTCGATCCTCACTGGGTACCCCATACTTTCGTCCTTGTTCCACATCTAAGCCGGGCTTAGAAAATCACTATATTGGGCGCCTCGAGGCGGTGGTAATGGTTACCAAGTTTATCTCGCTGGAACAATTACGACTGAGTAGTGAGTTCGATCCTCACTGGGCGCCCCATACATTCGGCCTTGTGCCACATCTAAGCTACGGTAGATAGTTAATTCGATTGCATAAACCCGCTCGTACACATTTGCGATTCTACAACATTTTTTTTTTATTAATGTTCACCCAATGCAAGGCCCAAGAGCCACTCAAGTTAGAGGGTTACTGAATGATGTGTGTGTATGAGTGATAAAAGTAAGCAAAAACTCTGTGGTGCCAGCATCATTTCAAGAATTGCTGGAACAAGGTTAGATGTAATATCGGACAGCCTTTCAGATTTCGGCTCTAGATTTTATTCTCGGGGTTTACTCCCAAAGACTTTTCCCTTGTGGCAGAAATTTAAAATAATTTCCTTCTTTTAGATGAATTGTCCTCTCGTGCTGATGAGTTCCATCTACCCAATTTAAGCTTACAGCTCCTGGTATTTCCAAAGAGTCAAACATTTTTATACTAATTTTCACGAAGTTTTAGAAAAATTGGAAACTAAAACGAAACTTATACTTAACATCAGAAAAAAATATTCCTAGTGCTTATAATGAGGAAAGAGAGCTTAGAAAATCTGATACTCACAGGACAGATCGAAGGAAAGAGGTACAGATGAAAACAACGCATACCTAGCGAGCTTGCGTAGATGGATGGCAAAACAAGGTTTACGAGAGATAAAAAGACAAAATTTATTAAGAGCTACAAAAGACAGGAAATTGTGAAGACCCATTATCGTCAACGCCCTGAAGGTACACGACACCTAGGAGATGGTGATGATAAAGATTTATTACGAGGATTCCTCTTTCCCACTACCCAGCGTCGCAAGCCTATCGCTATTTCCATGTTCAAATGTGCTACTACCACGGAGTCGAATCACCTTCATTTCCTCCGTATTCCAAATATAAGGAGAACAGTTATTCCATCTCTTTAAAATGTTGCCTCATCCGTAAATGACTGAAGAGACAAACAACGAATCCGTAGTTTGTGCAGTAAACCATCGGCAAACGTTCTCCCGTAGTGAGCGATCAGAGGGCAAAAGACCCTGAATACGTTGCAAATGATACGGATACAGGAGCTGCATTTGAAGTGCCCTCCATTCGGTACTATGAGATGTACGACATGCTTGGGATACTTGACGTGTGCTGATACCTGGATCGTCACCGACAGCCTGTAGAATGTGTTCTTCGTGGTCAGGTGCAAGAGCGGATCCCGATCTTCCTCGATCCATAGATTGTGGTGCCACGGATCCTGTCTCAGCAACGTGATAATAAGCAGCTGCAAAGTTGGATGTGTCAGTGTTGTGGTAGGATCCATCTAATTTGCATAGTGGAGTACTGACCATATAAATATGGTTGGTACCGGGAAGACGCGGGGAGGAATCAAGAGATTCAATCCAGAGACTCTGCCCGACAGCGACTAAGTCAACACATTCTCCAGGAACGGTCTTCCCAAGAATATACAAAAGACTATATGTAAATATTGTGTATACTTTCTTGTTTCAATACATTTTGTTCTAAGTACATTTTGTGTTGCATTATTATTCCATGCATTAGTCAAGTTTCAACAGTCAGCTGCCTTCAGCCTGGAAACACAATTTAATGCAGTCGTGCAGCCTCGCGTCCATTACCATTCGAGCGACCGTATGCAAAAACCATATCTGCCCGCTCCCGATATAGATATCTTTCCATTGTGAAACGGAACGCTTCTCAGTTAACTCACTACTACACACGTTAAACGTTGAAGACAGACTAGCTACAAATGTACACGAATGACAAATATAACCTAGTCTACATTGCAACACAGCGCCATCTATCGTAAACATTTTTTTTTAACTTAATAACTCAAAAGCGAAGGATTCGCGGACATGAGTTTATATAGACTTTTGTCCTTATCTTGTTATAAGGAAACAGCCCCACCCCCAAAGTTTGTAAAAGTATTTTTGATACACCCTGTATAAAGATAATATTATTATAAGTATTTACAACATGAGTGTAAATAAAACAAATTAATTTCAGATTAAAATAATATTAGGCAAAATAGCTTCATTTAATAAAATTCAACATAATCGTCATTTCTTGAGAAACTGTTAAAATTCGACTGAATTGTTCTGGAACTTTGTTTTCTTTTCTTTCTATATGTCGTGTCCTTTCATAGCATAGGCGATCATGGCTCTCCACCTCCCTCTATCCCTTGAAGCTCTCAACAAGTTCCTTCCCTCTGACACCCCACCCCAGACCACGCTCTGTCATCCACTTGCTTAAGGCCGCTAGGTGTCATGCGTTGTTTTCCTTTGTCTCTCTTTCCCTCTATCCGACCCGTGAGTATCAGATTCTCCAGGTCCTCCTTCCTCATTATGTGTTCCAGAAACTTCAGCTGCCTCTTCCTGATGTTAGGTATAAGCCTTCTCTTTGTTTTCAACCTCTCCAAGACCTCATCGTTGCTCACACGCTTGGTCCATGATCCTTCTGTAGAACCACATCTCCGTCGTCTCGAGTCTCTTCGGAACTTTGTTTACGAATCCAATATAAACCTTCTGCATTTTTCTTCGATTCATCGTGTACCGTGGTTAAACAATTAAGCAAGTATCCATAATTATGTTTCTATTAATTTTCTGGGTTTTTTTTTTATTTCTTTCGGGTTTGTTGGTGGACAAGTTACTGGTCTGATGTTTAACATCTTTCCAGGTTATTATTGCCTAGGCCTTCAACTACTTCCGGTCACCCAACCCGGATGGATGATTGGTTTAAGTGAGGGGTACCCCAAACGGTCAATATTGATTCCTGGATTCATAAAGGGAATTCAATAAAAATGTATTAGATGTATAAGATTCTATTTCTTGTGTGTTTATTATTGCCTATATTTTTATAAAGTTTTTCTTTTCCATCATCATCATCATCATCATTTACTTGTTCTTCTTCTTCTTCTTCATTTACTTCTTCTTTTCCATCAACATCATCATCATCATAATTTGCTTCTTCTTCTTCTTCTTCTTTTACATCATCATCATCATCATTTACTTGTTCTTGTTGTTGTTGTTCTTCTTCATTTACTTCTTCTTTTCCATCAACATCATCATCATCATCATAATTTACTTCTTCTTCTTCTTCATCATCATTTACTTCTTCTTCTTCTTCTTTTACATCATCATCATCATCATCATTTACTTCATCTTCTTTCCCTTCATCATCATCATCATCATTTACTTCTTCTTCTTTTCCATCATCATCATCATCATCATCATTTACTTCATCTTCCTCTTTTCCATCATCATCATCATCATCATCATTTACTTCTTCTTCATCATTATCATCATCATCATCATTTACTTCTTCTTCTTTTCCATCATCATCATCATCATTTACTTCATCTTCTTCTTTTCCATCATCATCATCATCATCATCATTTACTTCTTCTTCATCATTATCATCATCATCATCATTTACTTCTTCTTCTTTTCCATCATCATCATCATCATCATTTTCTTCTTCTTCTTTTTCTTTTTCTTCTTCTTCTTTTCCATCATCATCATCATCATCATTTACTTCTTTTTCTTTTTCTTCTTCTTCTTCATCATCATCATCATCATATACTTCTTCTTCTTCTTCATCATCATCATCATCATTTACTTCTTCTTCTTCTTCATCATCATCATCATTTACTTCTTCTTTTCCATCATCATCATCATCATTTACTTCTTCTTCTTCATCATCATCAACATTTACTTCTTCTTCAACATCATCATCATTTACTTCTTCTTGTTCTTGTTCTTCTTCTTTTCCATCATCATCATCATCATCATTTTCTTCTTCTCCTTCTTTTCCATCATCATCATCATCCTCATCATTTACTTCTTTTCCATCATCATCATCATCATCATTTACTTCTTCTTCTTCTTCTTTTCCCTCATCATCATCATCATCATCATCATGTACCTCTTCTTCTTCTTATTATTATTATTATTATTTCTACTACTACTACTACTACTACTACTACTACTACTACTACTACTACTACTATTTTTTGAATTTGCTTGTTTGTTTTACGAACTTTCAACCTTCAAGTCAACAGTTAATGATTGTGGGTATAATTAGTTAGATATGTAGCTGTCATTCCCGGCATCATTTTTCTTAATTGTACCGGGTTATTGAAAAGTAACTCCTTATTTTATATATGATGGACTCTTCCGTCTTGTAAAAAAAATATAGTTAAAGAGAGTCCATCGCATATAAAATAGTTACTTTTCACTCACCTTGTATAATGTCATATGATTGTCTATAGTAGTTAAAAGCTTTTATTTGTATATGTATGCACAGATAAAATTTCTGAACAGTTAAAATGTGTAAGCATATCAAAAGGGGAATTAAAAAAAATATGTCACAAGTATCAAATTCAATAAACTCAGAATCAACTTTAAAATAGGTAAATGAAATAATAACAAAATGTTCAGGGTTCTGTATATGTATGAGAATATTCATACAAATTCCATCATCCTCATTATTATTATTATTATTATTTTATGCTATGGACATATTATTATTATTATTATTATTTAATATTTTTTTTTTTTTTTTTTATTATTATTATTATTATTCGAACAAACATGACTAGTATAGGAAACAAAATAGAAACTGAAAAAATAGCATCAAAATGAATAAGATGAATGTTGTCGAGAAACAAGAATTAAAAAAAAGGATGAAAGGATTTCTACCCTTAAAAAAAATAATGTTTTTTGTGTATAAAACTGGGAATCGGTGAGATATCAAGAATTCCATGAAGGGGTTTATGGTCTAAAATGCTTGTGGACCCCTATTTTAAATGCTTTCTGTTTCCAGTTGTGTCTCGTCGCCAATGTCGGAGATGAAACCGTCCAGCTGTCTTACAATTGCATTATTTTACCACAACGCCACAGTCCAACTTAAAAAGCACATTTATACTGCTGCTCAATGTCAACAAACTTTTACTAATATTACTACTGCTACTACTAGTACCTCTTACTACAGTCACTTTTTAGCTGACAAGTTCTGCTATTTCCAAAGTTCGTATTCATTGCCAACGAGTGTTTGGTCTTCCGGTCAGGCTACTTGTATTGATTTCCAAATAAGAAATTAATAAAAATAAAATAAATAAAAATAGCTACATACTGAGTGACAACGAAGGAAACCAACATAGCCTCTCACTTCACACTATTCATCCGTCTTCAAAAGGTTTTTCCAATCGCGAAATTCAGATTTTATCAAAGGCTAAAAATAGTCCAAGTAGAAACAACAGCGGATTCAAATGTAATTTAAGAAAAGAATGACATGTCTATAAATAAGCCCAATATAGGGTGATTGAAAAGTAATTCCCCATTTTAAAATACTTTATTTATCAACTATAATTTTTACAAATAATTGAAAAACGTTTAGAATGCGATTTTATTTAAAATTCGATGTGGGCACCAGATTTCACTATCAGATTCTCGAGACAAACAGGAATCGCGTCAACAGATTTTACTAGGAACTCTTGTGGTATGGAAGATATAACTTATTGTATTCGTTCTTCAAGTTCTTTCAAAGTCT